TTTGTTCGTAGTGATGCTTCCTAAGGCCCACTTGACTTCACATTCCAGGATGTCTGGCTCTAGGTGAGTGATCACACCATCGTGATTAACTGGGTCGTGAAGATCTTTTTTGTATAGTTCTTCTGTGTATTCTTGCCAGCTCTTCTTAATATCTTCTGCTTCTGTCAGGTCCATACCATTTCTGTCCTTTATTGAGCCCATCTTTGCATGAAATGTCCCCTTGGTATCTCTAATTTTCTTGAAGAGATCTCTAGTCCTTCCCATTCTATTGTTTTCCTCTATTTCTTTTTTTATGATCTCGGAGAAAGGCTTTCTTATCTCTCCTTGCTATTCTTTGGAACTTTGTATTCAAATGGGTGTATCTTTCCTTTTCGCTTCTCTTCTTTTCACAGCTATTTGTAAGGCTCCTCAGACAGCCATTTTGCTTTTTTGCATTTCTTTTTCCTGGGGATGATCTTGATCCCTGTCTCCTGTACAACGTCACAAACCTACGTCCATAGTTCATCAGGCACTCTGTCTATCAGATCTAGTCCCTTAAATCTATTTGTCACTTCCACTGTATAATCATAAGGGATCTGATTTAGGTTACCTGAATGGTTTAGTGGTTTTCCCCACTTTCTTAAATTTAAGTCTGAATTTGGCAATAAGGAGTTCATGATCTGAGCCATGGTCTGACCTCCCGGTCTTGTTTTTGCTGACTGTATAGAGCTTCTCCATCTTTAGCTGCAAAGAATATAATCAATCTGATTTCGGTGTTGGCCATCTGGTGATGTCCTTGTGTAGAGTCTTCTCTTGTTGTTGGTGGAAGAGGGTGTTGGCTATGACCAGTGAGTTCTCTTAGTAAAACTCTATTAGCCTTTGCCCTGCTTCATTATGTACTCCATGGCCAAATCTGCAAGTTACTCCAGGTGTTTCCAGACTTCCTACTTTTGTATTCCAATCCCCTATAATGAAAAGGACATCTTTTTTGGGTGTTAGTTCTAAAAGGTCTTGTAGGTCTTCATAGAACCATTCAACTTTAGGTTCTTCAGCGTTACTGGTCGGGCATAGACTTGGATTACCATGATATTGAATGGTTCGCCTTGGAAACGAACAGAGATCATTCTGTCGTTTTTGAGATTGCATCCAAGTACTGCATTCCAAACTGCACTCTTTTGTTGACTATGATGGTTACTCCATTTCTTCTAAGGGATTCCTGCCCACAGTAGTAGATAAAATGGTCATCTGAGTTAAATTCACCTATTCCAGTCCATTTTAGTTCACTGATTCCTTTTAGTTCTAGGTAATTTGTATATAATATGGGTGACATCAAGGTGATGCTCCCTTGTGCTCCCGATCACCTTCAAAGGGCCCTAACTTCAGTGCTCAGATGAACTGAGATTCTTGATGATGAATTGAGATTCTAAGGGAATAAGCTGGGGCAGCTATTCCCTGTTGGAAAAAAGGTATGAGGTTGAAATGGGAGTAATTCACCTTCCTTCTGAAGGTTCAAATACAGAATGAAGAAACAGGAGAAATCTGTATTCCCAGAGAGCAAAAATTCAGTTTTTTACCTTCTCTTCAATCATCTGTTAATTTAAAAAAAAAAAAAAAAAGTGTTCTTGTATCATTTGGGAACTTTGTCAACTCCACAGAGTAAGTCTGATATATTTTCATGTATGAGAAAGTCTGTAAATATGTTGAACATGAAAATTTTTTGGATGTAATGTCACTCCATAAAGCTTAAATGACCCAATTCGAAAAAGTGTTTTGTTTCATAACCTTTGCTTAAGGTTTCTTTTGACATATCATTTTAGTAAAGCATCTAGGATCTGTGAAGGAACAAATCTTCTCAAATTTACACATTAAGAGCTCTCTTAGGAGGACTTCCTGGTGGTCCAGTGGTTAAGAATCCACCTTGCAATGCATGGGAAATGGGTTTGATCCCTGGCTGGGGAACTAAGATCCCATATGCTACAAGGCAAAGGACCTGACGCAGCCTAATTAATTAATTAATTTAAAAAATACTAAAGAGCTCTCCTAAGGATGTTACAATAATTATTTTTATTATATTGATATGTGTCATCAGGGTAGCCCCTTGTAAGCTGGATGGGACTCTAGACCCCACCTCATATTCTCTGTATTCACTTGGCTGTGCTGGCCCTCTAGCAGCCGCTGAGACAAAGCAGGTGTTGCTTGATCAGCAGCACTTTCCAACATAGAGATTCTCCTTTCAGTATCAAATCTTGAAAGCTCTGGGTCTGGTTTTACTAAAGTGCACTGCACCATCTTACTGAACAGTAACAAAGTCCCAACAATGAGGCTGTAAGAACAGGACCTGTCTATATACTGTTAATCACTTATTCTTTACCTTTACTTTTTGGATCAAATCTGAGACACTGAATTAAATGAATCATCAAAAATATCAGTTCCTATCATATTTTTTTTCCTGTAATAGAACACATAGCATTGTTATTCATCTTTAAAAGAAAAGGGCTTGGATTTCTAGATCCAGACGAGATGGAGTAGATGCGTTTTTCCTTATTCCTCCCACTGCGTATGTGGATGCTCAGTTGTGTCCGACTCTTTCTGACCCCATGGACTGCAGCACACCAGGTTCCTCTTTCCATAGGATTTTCCAGGCAAGAATACTGGAGCGGGTAGCCATTTCCTGCTCCAGGGAATCTTCTTGACCTGGAAATTAAACCCAAGTCTCTTGCTTCTCCTGCATTAGCAGGTAGATTCTTTACCACCATGCCACCTGGGAAAGCCCACAATTCTCCCACTAAGTATTGATAAAAAACCCTCCTCCAGCAGTAAATTGGTAGTGTCCCCCTTTCCCTCTTGGCATGGTGCTAGTGGAAGCCTACTAAAGATTTAAAGAAGATTGATCATTAAAACTTACAAGACTCCAAAATGTTCAGGAACAACTGAAAATCACTCATCATACTAAAAAACAAGGAAATCACAATTTGATTGAGAAAACAAAATTAACAGATTACAAGACCCAAGATGACACAGATGACGGAAACAAATATACAGAATTATAGAAGGATTTTAAAGTGGCCATCATATAAATGCTTCAAAAAGTAATAACTAACACACTGGAAATAAATAGAAACAGAGAAAGCCTCAGCAAAGAAATAGAAGATATAAAGAAGACCTAAATGGAAATTTTAGAATGAAAAACTTTGCTTAAGGTTTCTTTTGACATATCATTTTAGTAAAGCATCTAGGATCTGTGAAGGAACAAATCTTCTCAAATTTACACATTAAGAGCTCTCTTAGGAGGACTTCCTGGTGGTCCAGTGGTTAAGAATCCACCTTGCAATGCATGGGAAATGGGTTTGATCCCTGGCTGGGGAACTAAGATCCCATATGCTACAAGGCAAAGGACCTGACGCAGCCTAATTAATTAATTAATTTAAAAAATGCTAAAGAGCTCTCCTAGGGATGTTACAATAATTATTTTTATTATATTGATATGTGTCATCAGGGTAGCCCCTTGTAAGCTGGATGGGACTCTAGACCCCACCTCATATTCTCTGTATTCACTTGGCTGTGCTGGCCCTCTAGCAGCCGCTGAGACAAAGCAGGTGTTGCTTGATCAGCAGCACTTTCCAACATAGAGATTCTCCTTTCAGTATCAAATCTTGAAAGCTCTGGGTCTGGTTTTACTAAAGTGCACTGCACCATCTTACTGAACAGTAACAAAGTCCCAACAATGAGGCTGTAAGAACAGGACCTGTCTATATACTGTTAATCACTTATTCTTTACCTTTACTTTTTGGATCAAATCTGAGACACTGAATTAAATGAATCATCAAAAATATCAGTTCCTATCATATTTTTTTTCCTGTAATAGAACACATAGCATTGTTATTCATCTTTAAAAGAAAAGGGCTTGGATTTCTAGATCCAGACGAGATGGAGTAGATGCGTTTTTCCTTATTCCTCCCACTGCGTACGTGGATGCTCAGTTGTGTCCGACTCTTTCTGACCCCATGGACTGCAGCACACCAGGTTCCTCTTTCCATAGGATTTTCCAGGCAAGAATACTGGAGCGGGTAGCCATTTCCTGCTCCAGGGAATCTTCTTGACCTGGAAATTAAACCCAAGTCTCTTGCTTCTCCTGCATTAGCAGGTAGATTCTTTACCACCATGCCACCTGGGAAAGCCCACAATTCTCCCACTAAGTATTGATAAAAAACCCTCCTCCAGCAGTAAATTGGTAGTGTCCCCCTTTCCCTCTTGGCATGGTGCTAGTGGAAGCCTACTAAAGATTTAAAGAAGATTGATCATTAAAACTTACAAGACTCCAAAATGTTCAGGAACAACTGAAAATCACTCATCATACTAAAAAACAAGGAAATCACAATTTGATTGAGAAAACAAAATTAACAGATTACAAGACCCAAGATGACACAGATGACGGAAACAAATATACAGAATTATAGAAGGATTTTAAAGTGGCCATCATATAAATGCTTCAAAAAGTAATAACTAACACACTGGAAATAAATAGAAACAGAGAAAGCCTCAGCAAAGAAATAGAAGATATAAAGAAGACCTAAATGGAAATTTTAGAATGAAAAAATATCAAAATATCCAAAGTAAAAATCTAACTCAATGGACTCAAGAGCAGAATAGAAGCGATGAAGGAAAAAAGTATCGATGAACCTGAAGATAGAACAGTAACAATTATTGCATCTGAATAACAAGAAAGATAAGCAATAAACTGGTTTTATCAAAATTAAAAAGAGCTTCTCAATGGAAAGAAGAAAAAAATAAACTGCAGACTGGAAGAAAACATTTGCAAGTCACATAGCTGACAAAACACTTGTATCTGGAATGGAAAAACAAAAAGGCTCTCAAAACTCAACAGTAAAAATTAATGACACAATCAGAAAACAGAAAAAACACAAATATTTCATCAAAAAGGATATATAATGTCAAATAAGCACATAAAAAATGTTAAACATTAGTAGCCATTATGCAAATTAAAACCACAATGGAAAAGCATTATATACCTATTAAAAACTAAAATACAGTTACAATATCAAATGCTGATGAAGCTGCAGCATTTGATATTGAAACTGGATCACTCATATATTGTTGTAAAATAATATAGTCATTCTGGAATGTAGTTTTGTAGCTTCTTTAAAATCTACACATACTTACTATATGACCTAGCATTTGCACTCCTGGGCAGTTATCTCAGAGAAATTAAAACTTACTGTCCATATGAAAGTCTATACACAAGTGTTTACAGCAGCTTTATTTATAGTAGCTAAAAATTAGAAACAACACAAGACCTTCAATGGATGAATGGTTAAAGCAGTACATTCATACCATGAAATACTGTTCATCAATAAAAAGAATGAAGTATCGATACATGCAAAGATGTTATGGATGTCAAGGGCATTATACATAAGTAAAGCTAATTTCAAAAGGTTACATACTAAAAAATTCTCAGAATGAGACAAAATGAGATGGAGAAACAGATAAATGGTTGCCAGAAGTTACGGATGTGGAGATGGGAGGGACAGGAAGAATGACTATAAACTAATAGCACAAGGGATGTATTCGTGATGATGGGCCAGTTGTGTATGTTGTTGCAGTGGCGGTTGCATGACTCCACACATATGATAAAGTTGCACAGAACTATACACATACTTGAGTGAAAGTCTAATTGGTGAAACCTGCATAAGGTCTTTGAATTGTACTAATGACTATTTCCTGGTTTTGAAATCAAATTATAGTGATGTAAGATATTACCACTGGAGGAAACTGGATGAAGAGTACATGAAAGCTCTTTGTATTATTTTTTTTGCAACTCTCTACAAATCTATAATTATTTCATAATAATAAAAGAATAAACCAAAAGGATCACAATAAACTGTGGAAAATTCTTAAGAAGATGGGAAGACTAGACCACCTTACCTGTCTCTTAAAAAACCTGTATGCAGGTCAAGAAGCAACAGAACTGGACATGGAAAAAGAGACTAGTTCAAATTTGGGAAAGGAGTATCACAAGGCTATATATTGTCACCCTGCTTATTTAACTTATATGCAGAGTACATCAATTAAAATACTAGGCTGTAGGATGAATCACAAGCTGGAATCAAGATTGCTGGGGAAAATATCAGCAATCTCAGACATGCTGATGATACCACTCTACTGGCAGAAAGTGAAGAGGAACTAAGGAGCCTCTAGATAAGGATGAAAGAGGAGAGTGAAAAAGGTGGCTTAAAGTTCAACATTCAAAANGAGATAGTTAGATGGCATTACCAACTCAATGGACATGAGTTTGAGTAAAGTCTGGGAGACAGTGGACAGAGAAGCCTGGCATGCTACAGTCCATGGGGTCACAAAGAGTCAGACATGACTTCCCAACTGAACAACAATGAACAACAACAGAAAGGGTTATAAAGTAGAGATTACTATACCTGAGCTGATGCAGCTCATGCTGCCAGGAGACATTTTCCTGCTTGAGCTCTTCTTGCATAATCTGAAATGTTTTTGTCTTATCTTGATACTCCTGAAGTTGAGCCTTCAGTGGACGTAACTCAGTGATTTCTTGGTTAATCTGTAAATATTGCTGCTGCAGATTCTTTAACTCCTTCAGCTTTAACCAAAAGGAAAGTAAAAGGGTGATTTATCACATTTCATCCACTTAGCTAGCTCCCTGTTAAGTCAGTCAACATCACAATAGACTACTAACACCTAACAATTCACTGACATAATTGCAGCATGAATCCCTAATGTAATTGAAATACATGCAGCCAGGCTGGTGGGAATCTCCCCAAGGAGTGGCCATGAAGGCAGCAGAGTCCAACAACTGCAACTTCAACGCCAGTCCCCTGGCTCTGAGGGCCTAAGCTGATTTTAGATTTACAACTCTGGAGATGAGATAGACAAAGGACTCATAGATGCTTGGGGGTGGTAACTCCCTAAGACAAGAAATACAAAGATAGACTGGCTTTCTATTTAACCACGTGCCCTGGCTAGGCTTCTAAACTCTGGTTCATGAATATCAATCTTAATTCTACCATAGCTGATCTTGATTATAAAGAAGGCAGTGATATCCAGGCCCAGTGCTTAAGAACAGTTAGAATTTGGAGTCAGTTATCCTGCCCACATAATGTGTGCTCCTATGCATGTTTCACATACTCTTTAAGCCTTAATTTCCTCCACCTATAAAATGAAGATAATTAAAGTACCTCTTATAAATATTATGAGAATTTGACAAGAAAATTAATACGCTCCACATATAAAAGTCAGTGGCGGTGTTAATGAAGATGAACTTGCCTTTAAATAACAAACCTGCCTATCTATTATTACATTCCAGATATATCTTCTAACTCTTTACCCGCAATATTCATTAAAAGCTTGGCAGTAAGAAATAATGTGAGGATGTCAGGGCAAAGAGGGGAGTCCTAAATACATATCTCTTTCACCCATCTGGAAATATCACTAAAGCTACAATGAAGATATTTTATAAGCATAAAACACCAGAACAAGAACAACAAGAGACAAGTCAGTAGCAATGAAATTAATTTTGGAAGCTAAAAAGTATATGCATAAATGGTAACTGACTTAAGAGATCTGGGAATGGCAAGTCTTAAAATGGCAGTTGGGAAAGCCAAGAACCAACAGAACTTACTCAGCAGACTCTCCAAAAGGCTTAGGAATTAACAGCACCAGTCTCTTCTGGGAAAGATAGTGATAGGAGTAGCAAGGAGGTGATAGCTGAAATAAGGAGGATCAGATGAAAGATGCTTAAAAACAACATCCCTAAATACACTCCCAATTTCACACTTTTTGTTGCTCTGACAGACAAGAAGAATTTGATCCTTTAGAGAAGGTTGAAGGAGTGTCTCTGGACTATGGAACAGCTGAAGGTAAAGGTACTGCTCCAGCACCAGGGTGATCAGTTGAATGCATGCTTTCTGAATATTAGAAGACTTTTCTCATACTCAGCTCGAAGAGTTCTGGCACAGAGGCCTTTACCATCCATGCAGGAAACGGAGAAGTCTTCTTTGGAAAATCTGACTAACCCAAGAGGAACTAAAGATATCAACATGGGACTGCCCTCAAAAAGCTCAGCAAGATAACCATGAGCTGAAACTCAGTTGGTAAGTCCCACCTACAAGCATTTCTTAGACTCCACCTTTGAACATGAAGAACAAACCACTGATTAACCCTTCCCTGAAGAACAGCTAACATTAGGCAGAGATAAAAAGAAACTGGAAGAAAAGTAATCCAGAAGAGATTAACAGAAAAAAGCATGTCATGTACTCAAAGATTTAAAAGAATATTGGAAATCAGAAGCATTATAGCAGAAAATTTAAAACTATAAAGAAAAACTCACAAGAAAATTTCAAAGAACAAATCTGCCCCAAATCTACTTACAGAGATAAATTAAGAACATATATCTATGAGACCAAAAAAAAAAAAATAATCCTTAGAAATCAGGAACATGATAGCAAAAATGAAAACTTCAATACAGGATTCATAAGACAGAGGTAAGAAAAGTCTTCCCAAAATAAAAAGGATAGAAAAGGTAAGAAAATTATAGAACCAACCCAGAAGGCCCTACACCTAGGTAACAGAATTTCACAGGGGAGAAAAAGGCAGTAGAGAAAAAGGACCAGGGAAAGTGGTAAAACAGAATTCAAAGGAATTTCTCAAAATTGGTGAACTTCTTAGATTCTTAGACTTCTTAGATTCAAAGGATGAGACAGAATGATGAATAAAAACAGACTCACACCAAAACACATTATTGTGAAACATCAGAACATACTGGACTGAAAGATTCTACATGTAGTTGACGATTGAACAACACAAGGGTGGGGGTACCCACCCTCTGTGAAGCTGAAAATCTGTGTGTACTTTACTGTCAGCCCCCCCTGTATCTTCTATATCTGCTGTTCCACAACCACAGAGTCAATCAACTGCTGATCCTAGAGTACTGTAGTAGTTATTACTGAAGAAAACCCATGTATAAGTGAATCCATGCATTTTAAAGCCATGCTGTTCAAGGTCCAACTGTATTTCCAGAGAGAGAGAGAGACATGAGGGAGGGGAGAAAGCTAGAGATAGAACTAGATAAACAATGAGAGAACCAGATAACATAAAAAGGATCAAGGATCAGAATCTCTGGACTCCTGAACCACAATGTAAGTTAAAAGGGAATAGAACAATGTCTTCACAGTTTTGAAAAGAAATCATTTCAGCCTAGAATTCTGTACTCTACCAAACTATCAGAAATGATATTTCCCTGTATCTTTTCTCGGAGAGTTACTGATTTATTCCAACAAAATGATGGCACAAAACCAAGATGAGGAAAACATAGAATACAAGAAACAGGAGATCTAACACAGGAGAGAAAAGGAGGGAGATATTCTAGAAAGAAAATTACGTCCTAGGAATAACATAGGGCAACTGATTCACATAAGAGCAAAAAAGAGACTTCAAGAGAATTTTCTTCCTAAAGACAAAACATACAGGAATAAACATCTTGAAAAATTTGGATAAATGACAGTAAATCTGGGGTTAAATTACATTGATAAGTACAAAGAAAACTCAGTAACAACAACAAAAACACAGTTATTCATTCCAGGAAAAACAAAGGTGACAAGGAAAATAAAAGTAATACATAGGTTGAGAGGTGCTTGTGCCTAATTGTGTCAGATTCTTTGCAACTCTTTGCAAATCCAGTATTGCAACTTGAATACTGGAGTGGGTTGCCATTTTCTTCTCCAGGGGATCTTCCCAACCCAGGGATGAAACCCATGTCTCCTGCATTGCAGGCAGATTCTTTACCCACCGAGCCCTGCTTCTCTTGAATTGGCAGGTGGATTCTTTACCACTGAGCCAGATGGGAAGCCCCTCATATCTTTAAATGCTACCTCAAATCATTTTCAGACTGAAGTGTACATACGAACGAAAAGGCACTTCTAGAGATTTGCTCTCCAGCCTTTAGGCAGGAACTGCCTAAGTGCTTAATTTGATTATGGGAAAGTACTAAGGAAGTTTGGGTGATGAAAACTCCAAAATGTTTCCAGACTTGTCTGTTACGCCCTAGTAGAATCCCCTGGGTTACTAACTCCTTGCCACTTAGACCCTCAGACTTTATTTGGGAAACTTCCCTTTGATTAACTATGGAAAGAAGAGGACCAAAGTAACCTGAGCTCCTTTCAAACTGAGCTCCTCCCTTGGGTGGTCCTGAGAGAAAGGAAGTCTAGTCTAGGCAGAGGTGACAATTTGCTGGCCTGGGCTGAATATTTAAACTGACAGTGACTAAAATGTTATCATACATGCAGCCAGTGGCTGAGAGACTAGAAATTTCAATGCTCATTAGACAGAGTGAGAACAAGATGCGTGGAAAAGAAGAGTCGATGGAGTTAACAGTAATTCAGTAAGTATGCAGAAAGGCCTCAGCAGACTGGCAGAGCCTGTATGCAGTATCACTGAGTCAGACTGTCAGGCCTTCATGTGATTTATAACCCTGCTTAGGCTTTATGATTCAGTCATGGCAGATATAAAAGCCTCAGTCTCGAAAGTTCCTATAATCTCCCTACATGCCAATTTCACAAAATAGAGAAAACAGTATTTTCTCTATTTTGTAACAACCTATTTCTCTATTATCAGTAACAACCACACTGACAGAGAATATCCACCACAATTGTTGATTATCTACCATATGATTAACTACCCTTCTGCTAAAAACCATGTGAAATACAAACAAGTATAAGACATGACATTTACCAGGAGTTTGAAATTTAAATGGTGCAATAAAAAAATATAAGGGTATAGAAATTTTACACACACAAACACACACACCCATATATATCAAGACAATATGGGACAAAAGAGAAGAGAAGCATAAGGGAAGTATAGACAGAAGGTAATAGACAATCAAGTGATCTGCAAATGTGACCAGAGGATCTAAGCTCTGGAGCAACCTTTAAAGAGCAGGAATCTTTGCCCAAAAAAGGAAAACGGAGAGGACATTTTTGTTCAGAGGATAGTAAGGTGGGTAAGTAGACCAGTTTGTGGGTGAGTAGATCAGATGGCTGACATTAAGAGTAGGAGTAGGGAAGCAGTAAAAGGGGACGCTGGAAAGACAGGAAGATACAAACCATAGGGTCTTAAAACCAGACCAAGAGGTTTGGATCCTAAGCATATTTTAGAGATAGAATAATTTTTAAAGGTTACTGAACAATGCTGTAATAAGACAGTAGTTTCAGAAAAATATATTCAGCAATGGAGGGGTGACAACTGGGAGCACCAACATTATAGCCATTTAAGGGTAAAGTGTTAAAAATTTACCCTAAGGTGTTGATGATGGAAAGGAAAAAGAAGTATTTGAGGCACACTATGAATAAAGAAATGATAGACCCTAGATAGGCTCAATGCAGGAATACAGCCAATATTTTGTAACAACTGTAAATCAAAAGTAACTTTTAAGAATTGTACAAAAATTTTTAAAAAAGAAATGATAGACTTTGATGATTAAATGAAATAAAATCATAGACAGTTATGAGCCTTAGGAAACAAAAGAACATTACTATGATTTATATGGAAATTAAAACATACTGGCTTTACACCACAGGGAACCATAGTCAATATCTTGTAATAACCTACAATGAAAAATAATTTCAAAAATAATATATGTGTATATATATAACTAAATCACCTGTGCACCTAAAACATTGTAAGTCAACTGTACTTCAATAAATATATATATTAAGAAAAAAATAAATAAAAAATGCTTTGGCTTGTAAATACCCAGCAGACAAAAAGATATTAATAGAACAGGGGTTAAGAGATAGAAAGTTTAGCCCCTAGTATTTATAATAGCTAAAAACAGTAAAGCAACTCATTGAATAAAACATAGCTAATTCAGAATCCATCCTAAAGCTTTCAGGAAAAAAATTTTGACCTAGAAGATAATCAACACCTGGATAAGTCAGCAGTCCCCAACCTATTTGGCACAAGGGACCAGTTTCAAGGAAGACAGTTTTCCACGACTGGGGGTGGGGTGGGGTGGGGATGGTTTGGGGATGGTTCAAGCGTATTACTTTTATTGTGCACTTTATTTCTAATCTCATGCCACTGCTAATCTGACAGGAGATACTGGTCTGCATCTGGAGGCTGGGGACCTCTGCTATAAATTATATGTGCGGTATATATGGTTCTGAAGAAAACTTTTTGAATTTGCATTCTGAAAACAATGACAAAAGGTTAAGCTTCTAGAACAAAGTCAGCTAAACTGACACTATTTTAAAAATAAAAATAAATAAGTCTAAACTGTATTAATGTCAAAATTGTAGCTGAAAAGGGAGGCTTTGTTCAGATTACAAAAAGGAAAAAAGATTGTCTATAAATATTCAGTATTAAATATAATATGAAGGAACACATTACCTACCAAGAAAAAAGATCTGCATAAGACTTTACAGTTTAGGAGAAATGATTTTTTCCCCGAGGCTAATCTTAAAAACTAGAATTTTCATATTTTGGATTTAAAAATAGAAAATTTAGCCTTTTGAAGTTCAAGTTATTGCCCATTTGAGTATGTGGCCTAGACAGAGTTAAGAAACTGTCATGAAAGTGAAAAGAATAATGTCACAAAGTAGAATCCTGACAGCCTGGCTGGGCTCATACAGTTCCAGTTTTGCCTCTAAATTTTGATGATCTACAAGTTTTCAGGAAAAAAAAAAAGACCTGGATTAAACTATGGGACCCTCTTAAAAGCAGTAAAAATTTAACACTGGAGATCTTCCTTATCTTTCTCTAAGATTTAAAAAAAAAAAGTTGGATATATAAAGGGAAGTGGGAAAAATGGTTCAGTCTCAAAGCTTTACTAAACAGTCATGTAAAATTATTTAAATTAATCCCTTTTACATTTAATTTTTTTTTTTTTTTACAAATAGCTCTCTATCTCTTAGTCCTTTTGTGACCAATGTCACAAAAACTCACCAATGTGAGTTCTGTGCAAAGGAGATCAGTAATTTTTTTTAAAACAGCAATGGCAGATTTAACGTAATTTAAATAATGTTTCTCTAAGACCAAAAACAATCTGTGGGGCGTATGAGATCGTCCCAGAATGCCACGTTAAAATGAATAAAAATTTTTACCATTTTCTGTAAAAATGAAAATCAATTTAAAGAAAGTTTCAAAAACTCTCAGAAGAAGATTGGAAAGAAAAAACTAAACACTCACTAGCCGGTCCCGGTCATTTTGGAGTGATGACATAGCTTTTTTTAAACTCTGTACTTCAGCAGGGCTGGCTGTAGGTGGGGCTGCAGACCTCTGCCTCCCATCCTCTGACTTGCGGAATCTCTCCAGTTCACTCAACAGGCGATCTCTCTCATTCTGCAGGCTGGCCATAGCCTTGGAAAAGGACTGCACTTGGTTGTAAGAATCTTCCAGTTGTGAGGACAAGTGAAGCAGTTGCTCATCTTTGGACAGAAGCTGCTGGTTAAGTTTCTCAAGGTGAGGCAAAATGTTATCCTCAGTGGAAATCACTGGAAATGCAGCTTTAGAAACAAGAACATCTCTCTCCCTGCTTACGAGGCCCTGTTCTCTCAGCTGTGCCAACTCCTTCAGGCTGGCCTCATATTTCCTTTTTAGTTCCTCAAGTTCCTCATGGGCCTGATCTCTACTGTTTTGTAGGGAACTCATTGACCTTCCAAAGGACTGGATTTGTGCTGTGAGATCTTTGTTTTCTTTGGTGACCACGAGTAACCTCTGTTCCATCTCCACCAGATCTCTCGCTAGCTCCGCCACCCTCTCTTCTGCTGTTTCAGTTTCATTGCGCATTATCCCTGCATCGTGATGAAGATGCTTTAATTCTTTCTTCAGTTTGTCTTCAATTTCACCTACCTTCTTGGCAGCTTCCTTCTGAACATGAACCAAATCCTCTTCCAGTTCTAGAACTCTCTTCTGAGAGGAAGAAAGGACAGTACTTAACTTCTGTACCTCTTCTTCTTTGGCTTTTAATTGGGCCTGAAATATTCCCAGAGTACCTTCTTCTTGCAAGGCTGTCAACTGTTTCTTTAATTGCGATAGAGAGACTTTCAAGCTCTCAGTCTCTTTAGCTAAATCTTGTTTTTCCTCCTGGAGGGCAAGAGAGGACCTCTGCAACTCCCCCCTTGCTTCCTCAGACTCCTTGAGCTTTGCTTCTAATTTAGCATATTCACCTTTCAGGTCCTTGGTCTGCTGAAGCTGAGCTTCAAGGAGCTGCTTTTGCTGACAGTCTTTCTTCGATAACACTTGGTTCAGGTCTTCTCTATACTGGATCAGCTCTGCATTGAGCTTGGCATTCTCAGAATTAAGGTCATCCATATGACTTCTCAAGCATCGGATTTCTTCCTTCAGCTTATTATTCTCAGTAGCAGCATCTTGAATGAGTTGGTCTTTTTCCAAGATCACAGAGAGATGTCGTTCTTCCAGCTGTTGGTAGTCACTGACTATGCGGTCTCGGTCATCCTGGAGAGAAGACATGGATTTAACGAAGGAATTCAACTGAGCCTTCTGCTGCATGTTCTCCTTTTTCATGTTTTTCAGTGTTTCCATAAGCTGATTGGTTCTGTCAACAGCTTTTTTGTTCTCCTCTTCTAAGACAGTGTTCTCCTCTTCCTCCTGGGACAGCAGATTTTCCAGTTCTTTAATTTCTTTATCATGCTGCTGATGCAGTTCAGCCACAGCCACGTGGACTGCCTGTTCCTTGGCAGAAAGCAGGCTTATAATCTTTTGCTCCTTCATGTTTATTTCTTCATGCAGCCTATTGGTCAGTTGCCTGGAGGCCTGAAGATCAGTCTCCAGCTGCTCATAACTGAACTTACAATTCTGGATATCAGCTTCTTTCTGCTTTATGATCCCTTCCAAATTTTCTTTATTTTCCTTAAATTTTTCTAGAGAGTTATTTAAATCAGTTGACTGGTCTCTGAGAATCTTCAGTTCTAATTCCAACTTAGCTAAATCATCCTGAGAACTACGGTATAGATTTTGAGTCTCTTCGAGCTGGGACAAAAGTTCTTTGTTTTCTCCTTGCAGAGTATCACAGACCTTCTGCTGAATCTGGACCTCTGTCTGAGCTTTGGACTCCCACATCTGTTTGTCATGCTCAAGCCTAGAAAAAAAGGTCATCAATTACAGATTTCAAAAAGTACTTGATGCCTAAGAAACAAAACAGGTACTCAGATCTACAAATCAATAAACATTCATAATTGACGGTGTTTTTAATAAAGAGGTATTAGTTCTACTGAATGTTCTGTATTAAATGTGTATTGCATCTGAGAATTTATATAAAAATAAACTCCAAAGTATGTTGTTAATTTAGTGACATGAGTCTGGATACTCTGAAGAGTGCCCCCAATTTTGTACTTGGTTCCAGATAAGCTGTTGTCTGGCCCCTTAATGAAATAATCTTGGTATGAGAGGCAAATGAGGAAATTTGTCTCTGAGCAGAGGGATTCTACTGAAAATGAAAGAGTATGGTGTGGGGATGCTGTTAGTTCCTGAATTATTTAAAACTGAAGTTTGAGGAAAATAACTCCAGCAGGCATATGCAATATGAATTGATGTAGAACATGGGGAAGAGAAGAGGAGATCATTTCAGAGGCTAAGGCAGTAATTCGAAAGTACAGAAATTTATACTATGGTAAAAATTCAGAGATAGGCAAGGACAGTAGAAATGAAAATGAAAAGAAAGGAAAAAGTCTAAGACATCTCTCAATAGAAAGATGGGTAGAGAAGTAAATGTGAATTTTTCACACCAAGACAAGTTGTAGCAGAAAGTCATTTGCAAAAAGTAGAGAGACAGCGAGACGGAAGTGAGAGGGAATACATCTTCTGGGGGGAATTTAGACCAAAATTAGTCCCATAATATTAAAGGGAATGGAAAGAGTTTATGACTTCCTTTGCCTTCAATTTCCTTTGGAAGAGCTAAAAGAGCTATTACTCATTTACCTGGAAATGTTGATCTTCAGTTCCTCCATATGGATGGACATCTGCCTAAGCTGATCCTTTAGAATGCTGCAATTCTCCTCTTTAAGTCTAACTTCTTCTTCTTTGGTCTGAATAGCATCACTGAACTTCCTCTCCCACTTTTTGGCTTCATCTATCACCCTGTCCCGATCATCCTGAAGGGAAGACATGCTCTTAGTGAAAGCTGCCAGCTGGGCCACAGTACTATCCAGGTTTTCCTGAAGTTGCTTAACTTCCTTGTCTTTCTTGTTCAAAGTGAGCTGAACCTCTCCAAACGTCTCTTCTAAATGGACTTTTTCTCTACGCAAAGCATCCAGTTTCTCTTGCATATTCTTCTTCTCTTTCAGGTGTTTCTCCTCTGCTTGCTCCAGTCTTCGCTCAAGATCTTCATCCTTTTGTTTCATTTGGCTTTTAATGGATTCTTTATTTGACTGAAGCTCCTTTTTCAACTTGAGATTGTCTGCTAGGACCCTTGCTGCTTCACTTTGAGTGTCATCTAGCAGTACTTTGAAGCTAGCTAATTCTGATTCTGCCTTCTTGCGGTGTTCATTGGCTTGAGCTAGATTTTCTTTGGTTATTTCCAAATCTTTTTGGGACTCAGTCTGAACAAATTCCAGAGCCTTAACAGTTCTCTCCAGGGCACTGATTTTCTCTTGGTACCTAATACAATCCGTCTGCAGTTGCTTTACTTCTTGCTGTTTTTCTTTTAGCAGCTCCTGAAGTTCCTTCGCATGGCTTTTATTTCCAGGTCCTTTCTGAGCACCTTGTATTTTCTCCATATATTCCTTTCTTATTTCTGATTCCACCTTAGTTTTCTCCTTGACTAACTGTTGCTTTTCTTCTTCCAATTCACTCACACACTTTTTAAGGTTCTGCATTTCGGATTCTAGTAGCTCGTTTTTGATCTGGGCATCTGTAACATCCTGATAATAATTCCCAATGCTTCCATTAAGTTCTGCTAATTGATTCATAAGCCTCTCTTCCAAATCATCTTTCTCTTCTTCTGCTGTCTCCTTTAACTTGGTAACTCTGGCAAGTTCTTCTTGGGTTTGCTGATTTAACAGGTTTATTTTGGTTACTTCTTCCTGAAGCATTTTTAGTTCACCATCCTTTGCTGCTATTCGACTCAATAAAGTATCTCTCTCATTTTCTAAATTCTGGCTAAATTCTTTGTCTTTCTGCCTGCCTTCCTCTAATTCAGTGATTCTTTCTTTGAGCTGATCAATTTGCTGAAGGTAGTTATTAATTTCATCATGTAAGCTGACATTCTCACATATGTCAGGCTTGGCACTGTTCTCTGATAGAGTGGATTCTAAATTTTCAGGCCTCGTGTTCATACCTGGGGAGTCTTGCTCATCAGCCTCACTTGGAGCAGACGGGATTGCCTCCTCAGTGACGGCCATCTGTTTGTCATGCCTCTCAATGGGCTCCAGACTAGCTTGTTTGGATACATTATCTTCTATCTGATGCTTTAAATGTTGAATCTCTTTATTTAAAGAGTCCTTCTCTGCCTTTAGGGCCTCAAACTCCTTAGAAAGGGTTTTATATTCTGTTTTGACACTTTCCAGCTCCTCCTTCATGTCGGAATTGGAAGAAAGAAGTGCTTCCATACTATCTTTAGATGTATCTCCTACAGGATGTACCTCTGCTCTAAGCCGCTCATTCTCTTCTTCCAGCTCTAGGATTTTCTGCTGTTTAGATTTAGCAAACTTTCTCATCTTTTCTTTCATCTCATCCATTTCCTGTTCAGCTTCCTGCAACTGCTTTTCTGTTTCTTTCTTGTTTGCTTCTGTGCTTCTTAACTTGCCATAAAGTTCCTGCTTCTCCTGCCTCACAGTTTCCACTACATGCTGAATTCTTTCTGCCTCATTACTAACATTCTCATAGGACTGCAGAAGAATTTCATATTCCTTTTGCAATTCTTGGTGTTTCTCTTGCCACTCAGTGCTTTCTGCAATCTTGGAACACTTCAAAGATTCAATTTCCTTCATTAAGTTTTCCTTGTCTTCAGTAAGACCCTCCAGTGCTAATTTCAGACTTTCACAAGAACCACTGAGACTTTGATTTTCCATTAAAGATCTGTCCACTTCTGCAATGAGCTTGTCTCTTTCTTCCTGAAGAAGAGCTAACTTTCCTAAGAATACACCTTTTTCTCTATTTTGAGCAGAAACTTGGTTTTCCACATCTACCAGAGACTTAGTGAGATGCTCAATGGTGTCTCTGGCCAAAGACAACTCCTCCTGGAGACCTTTGTTTTCTTTCAGTGCTTCTTTTCGGGAAATGAGTGCAGCTTGCAGTTTCCTCTGTATTTGCTGTTTTGCTTTACTTTCTTCTCCGGTCTCTTCTGGTTTCTGCTTCAGTTCGCAAAGCTCCACCTGGATCTGCTTTATCTTCTCATCATGTTCTTTGGCTTGCATTTCCAGCTGTGTATGCAGTGCCTTTACTAAATCCTCTTTTTCTGTTATCTCCATTTGTACTTTAGTAAGGGCTGTTTCCTTTTCACTAAGCAGTCCAGAAAGGTACCTAACTTCTTCGTCCTTTTTGCTTATGAGTTTCTGCAGTTCATCTAGTTCAGGCTTCAATTCTCTTAACTGCTCTAGTCCAGCGATCTCTAGTTGACTGCTTTCCAGTTTTTGCCTCAGGGTTTCTGCGTAGGCTTCAGCTTCACAGGACTCTGCCTTCAGACTTTGGATTTCTAAATCCTGTTTATTTATCTGCTCTTGTAACTGAAATACCTCTTCTGATTTTTTAGTCAGCTCATTTATTGTAGAGTTAACCTTTAACTCTAACTCTTCTTTCTCAGCCTCTATTTCTTTCAGCTGGGTCTTAATCTGGGCAATAGCAGTACTGCCCTGCAGAGCATTTGTATCTCCAAGATGAGGACAGTCTGGGTACAAGTCAGACTCTGAAACAGATTGAACAGGCTGCTGTTTTGTGGCTTTGAATAAAGGTTCTTCTAAACCTTGAGTGGGAGAGCCTGGTTCCTGCTGGCCACTGCCTGGGAGTTTTCTGTCCATAGATTCCTGTATTTGAATCTGCAGTTGTTTTAGTTGGTCCCCAATGTTCTCATTTTCCTTGCTTTGCTCATCAAACTGTTCTTGCAAGCGATTATAGTCATCCTTCTGTTGCTTTAGCTCCTCCCTAAGATGTCTTTCTTTCTCCTGTGCCTTTTTTAGAATCACCTTGCGAGAAGTTAATACTTCCTGTAGCTTTTTTTGAAGTTGCTCCTTTTCTTTTTCAAGGTCCACTATTTTTTCTTCCAGTTCTGGTTTCCAGTGTTCTCCACCAGCTTCACCAAGTGGACTGATGGCCACTGCTTCTTTTACAGGTGCTGCTGAGTCTCCATCACCTGCATCCTTGTTACCTGTGGTTAACTTTTGGATAATTGCTTGGTTTTCAATGACTTCTGCTTGGAGCAGATCTATCTGGTTTGTCTTCTCCTGCAAATTCTGATTCATCTGTTTGACCACAGCCTGTAACTGTTCTTCTATTGCTGCCTTTTCTTCCAAATCCTTCCTAATGTGGTCTAGTTCCATTTCCTTCTCAGATATTATCTGTTTTAAAGACATTTCTATTTCTTGGCACTTAGAAGTCACACATTTTTCTAAGTCTTCTTTGCTTTCTTTATCTTCCTCCACTTCCCTCCTCTCACTCTCATGGAGTAGGATCTCTTTGCTGGGTTCATCTTTCACTTTGGCCAATTCCTCTTCTAATCTACTAACTTTCTGTAAAAGTTCCTTTCTATTAATAAGAGCAGCCTGGAGCTTTCTCTTTCTCTGCTCACTTTCTTTCTTTACAAGGTCTAATTCACGCTGAAGTTCTTCTTTACTTATTAGCCCTGCTGGGCTCAACTCATCATAATTCTGTTTAATGCTGGAAACAATTTCTTTATCTTCTTCCATCTGCTCTTTTTTGGTCTCTTCAGCTCTGGATAACAAATTCAGCTGTTCTTTAAGAGTCTTTATTTCAACCCCAAGAGAAAATTTCTCTTCATTAAGCTGAACCATTTTCTCTGTCATACTAAAGCTGATTTCTGTCACTTGCTGATCCTTCTCTTCAATGGTCTGTTGGAGTATTTCTACATCTTTCTTTTTTTCTAGTAAAAGTTGATCCATTTTTGCTATTTCAAGTTCCTTCTGTGAAAGAGCCTGTGAAAGTTCTTCTACCTTACTTGAGACCTCCCTCTCACGTTCTGCCCCCTCAAGCACTTCACTTTCCTTCCTTTGCAGCTGGCTCTGCAGGCTTTTGATCAAAGTACTCTGCTCAGAAAACTGAACCTGCACACCATCTAGTTCATTCTGTAAAACTTCAATCTTCACATCTTTAGATTTGGCTTCTATGGTGAGGCTGTGGATCTGTTCAGTGAGCAAGTCGTGATGAGCAGTCTGACTTTCATAGTCGAGTCTTCTTTGCCTTTCTGCTTCTGCAAGGTTCACTTCTAGTTGCTGTACCTGAGCCCTCAGTTCCGTTACCACACAAAGTTCCTTCACCTGAGCAAGAAGCTGGTCTCTTTCTTCAGACAAAGCAGTGAAAGCATTGTTGGTGTTTTCAGCATTTTTCTTAAACTCTTCAATCAGCTGGGTTAGGATGACTATTTCCTTAGCTTTCTCATCTAAATTTTTCTCATAGATTTCTTCTGCTTTATGAAGGTTTACCTCAAGCTCCAAAACTTGACCTTTTAGTCTTTCCAATTCATCCTGGTGACACTGACAAATACCTGGGACAGCAGAAGAGGGTTTATCATCATTTTCCTGCTTGGCTGATTTTAATTTCACTCCAGTGCTGTTTAAAGATATTTCCTCAGATGGTCTATGCTGGTCTTCGGGGCTCATCTGCTCTTCTTTCTCAGTTGTTGTGAGACTGCTCTCTTTATCTGGCATCGGTGGAAAATGCTGCCCTGTATCTTCAAGCAACACTGTCATTTTAACTGGAGGTATTCCTTCACTCTCTATCTGTTTCATTTCTTTCTGATCAAGGAACTCAGGGTCACCTTCTGCCCTTTTGCCTTGAAGCTGCAACTTAAGAAATGCAATCTCCTCTTGAGCTTCTTTCATTTCCAGCAATAAAACAGATAGTTCTTTATGCTTCTGAGTAAATGTGTTCTCCAGGGCATCTTGTCCACTTTCCTCAGCAGAAAAACTGCTTTTGTTGAGCCTGGTAATACCAACCATGCTCACCTGTTTTTTAAAAAGAAACAAACAAAACACCTCAATCAAATGTTTTATAGAAAAGAGCCTAACTAAAAACTGGTATTTTGTGCATTTTCAAAAACCTAAAACTTTTCCATCTAAACTTTCCTACCACAAAACTGCTAAATACTTTTAAAATTAGTTTTTATTTCCCAACTTGGACCTCTGAGGGCATCCTGTCAATCCAGCACTGAAGTCAAGTCATATTCATAAGACCTAAGGAAACCTGGGACGCATTTTCTAAATATTCCTCACTTGGGAAACTTTTTCTTCAGATTAAAACTGCTTATTTCTCCTAAGAACTACTTACAAATAAAAAGCGAAGCAAGAAATAAATTTTTGCTTCATCCCATGCCAAGAAGGAAGTTACAGGATTCCTTTTCCTAAACTATCTACTGGAATAGGAAGTATTAGATAAGATAGCTGTGAACAGACAAAGAGATTATCAGACAAGTTGATTAAGATAAATTACCAGGATAAAATAATCAAAGAAGAGTTCTGCTGGGGCTTGGGAAAAAATTATGGACCCGTCTGACAAAATATTAACCAAGTTACTATTACAAAGCTTACTGTATTAGGCTGCTCAATCTATATAAATTATTTCTAATAATTGTCTTCCTGGGAAAAAACCAGTGAATTTCATGGTAAATTTAGTATCTTATTAAATGAGTTTGGGGACCATATACATAACAAAATACCCATCTTTGTCAACAGCAGCTTTTCTTCCCCCTCCCTAAAAAAATTCCAACTTGATATGAAGGAGAAAAAACAAAAACAAGAACAGGGGATTGTCAGACAATGTGGTGGCCAAGAGCACAAGCTCTGCAGCTCAGCTGCCAGAGTTCACATCTCTGCCATTCACTAGCAGAAGCTGGCACACAGTGAGCCCTCAATGAATATTACCTATTATCTTGGTATCATATTCAGCCACTGAGTAAAAGAAAAGAAATCATTACTTTAGAACTATATATTACTTTACACAAAGTTATTATCTAATCATTTTTCATTAGCACTTTTAATCATTTAAAATTCTTCACTCTTTGTATTACTTCTACTCAAATTTCTGGAAACCAAAACTGGACACATTTTTTTTTTTAGCAGAGGAAAAGTTCCTTTATAATTTCTTCATGTAACATTACTATTTATCCATTCCTACATACATGAAAAATCTAATATAGTCAAGGCATGACTTTTGCCAGAAGATGGAAATATAATTAACTCCTTTTTTTGGTCTCTCTCATATCCTAAGTATTCTTATTTCCTCTTTACTAACTATCTGTCATGCCACTTCACTCACTCTCTTCCTTCCCTTAGTCTCATTTTCTGCTGCTCCCTATCCTATTTATAGAATTCAATTAACTTTGGCTTGATTTTTTTTTTTAAAGTCAATATTATACATCAGACAGCAGAAACTGGAAAACTCTGCTCTTTCTAGCCACTCTCACTTTTCCTTCTAGTACTAGTCTTCCCCTTTAGACTGTGTTTACATTTTCTATGGACACTTTCTAGTCACTCTCTTTTATCCCAAGGAATTATCTTAGTCACCCTTCCTTTTACAATTTCTGTGGAGCTTTTTCCCCCTTCCTTTTCCGCTGTTTCCTGTTTGCTCTCCCTTCTCGATATTTTGTTTTTCTTAATAGATTCCCATATTTCTTATCTGCCCTTCCATTCTGAGCTCTCTCATTTTCACCAGACATTAATTGCTAGGCATCTTAAAACTTTAAGCATCTCCTTGGCTAAACAAGATTCATTTTTCACTACTAAACTCTCATAATTTGTCAGAAACCATATAATGTTAAAATTATTTTCAAAATTTAGTCCACTTTTCACAGTTTTGTGAACAGAACATCATATGAAAACGTAATTGAATGTAAATGTGGAGGTTAACTTTATGCCTCAACTTGGTTAGCACACAACACTGAGATACTTGGTCAAACATTACTCCAAATGTTTCTGTTGAGGTATTTTTAGATAAAGTTAAGATTTAAACCAGCAGACTCTGAGTAAAGCAGGCTGCTCTCCATAATGTGGATGGGCTTCACCTAATAGGTTAAAGGCCATAACCAAAAAATGATGGCCCTCTTCCAAAAAGAAGAAAGTCTGCAGACTACCTTCAGATTCAAACTGCAACTTCTCTCTGGGTCTCCAGTGTGCTAGCTAGCCTACCCTGCAGTTTTGAATTTGTCAGCCTCCACAATTACATGAGCGAATTCCTTAAAATAAACCCTGTCTATATATATTTCACTTCCTATTAATTCTGTTTCTCTAGAGAACTCTAATACAATAAGTAAGCAGACACTATTGTAAAGAAGTTACATTATTCCTCAAGGCCATTTATGAGCCTATCACTCACTTCTTTTTTTTTTTTCTGGCCATGCCACATGGCTTGTGTGATCTTAGTTCCCTGATCAGGGATCAAACCCAGGCCCTTGGCAGTGAAAGCATGGAGTCCTAACCACTGGACCACCAGGAAATTCCTTATCACTGACTTCCTAAATGGAAGGACAATTAAACACAATACAGCTAACAGTCATCTTAAATTAGCAGAATATTGAGCAATCACACATTTCTTATAATAAGTTTCAGGTTATAAAAAACACCATTCTCTAAGGATACCTTTTGAATATAATTCTAAGTGAAACTGTGCCACATGAGAAGGGGGTGGTGGGGAGAGACTGGAGATTTTTACCTAATTTCTTTACTGAGAAACTTTTCTGAGATGGGCAAAGAAGTTGAGATAAATGATAACTCAGCAGGCAAAATAGGATGTCAAATCCCAAATAAATGCTACTGTGCTTGCGTTGGTTCAGGACAAATAAAATGTCCAAATATTTATAAACAAATGAAAGTAAATGAGAAATAATAAAATTACGACTCTCTTAAATCTCACTTTCTAGGTAATGTAATTCTCTGTTGGCATTAGAAAACTGTACAAAAGCTTAGGCTTGAAACCACCTCCCCTGACCAAGCTCATATTCTGATTATTTTAAGAATGCATCACTTACCTCATGGACTTCTCTATCTACCTCTCCAGTTCTCTTCTGAGACTCCAGGAGAGTAATCTGAGAGGACAGTTTTTCTGAAAGTCACAAAATAAACAGCCTTAGAAGGTAAATGTAGAAGTGTTTGGGGGAAAAAAAAAACAGAGGTATGTATGTGCGTGAGGCTATTTGAGATGCATGAAATAACCAAGAGGAAAGAACAGACAGAATAGTTTGGGGGAGATAAAACACTTATTTTATTAAAATAAAGAAATGGCAAAAGAAGATGAAAAGATGAGATATAAGACAGAAGGATAGAAGCGTTAATGCTCAACTTGAGTGAAGTATAATAAATAGTAGAAGGCTTTAAAGGGGGGAAAAAAAGCCAGAGCACATGACAAAAAGCTATTTCTGCAGCATAATTTGGGAATTCTAGGGAAATAAATGCAACTTATCTATAACTTTTCTGTGTTCATATTATACATCATGTATTAATATAGCACTTAAAATGTCTTCTACACTCTTTCACATATATTCATAAGGACATCAAATTTTAGCATAGAAGGGAGCTATCCAATCTCTTCAATGACCATATGAGGAAACAAAGAAATGACATGTCCTATAGCTAGTTCATACAGCTAGGATCAGAATTCAGTCTTCTGAGTTCGACCCCATGTCTTGTTACAATGTGGGTATCTAAAAAGGGCAGTAGTACCTTGGAAGATAAAAATATTGAGTATTAGTAAGCCCCCAAGAAGTTTATCCTCTTTCTGAGAAGCTAAGACAAGTATACGAAACAAACAAAAAAGCTTATTTTTTACACTACATCCAAGTGTTTTAATATGACCCACATGATTTGACCCCACTTATTCTACAAACTTTATACTGCCCCCCTTTTGCTCACTCTACTTCCAAGAACACTGGCCTTGTTTCTATCTGCAAACATATCAAGTTTATTCACACCTCAGGGTGTTTACACTGCTCTTCCCTGCTTGGAAGGAGATTTGCTCAGCCTCTTTTTGTGTGGCGGTCCCCTTTTCATCATTCAGGTAAGCAGTGATCAGAGAGGCCTACCCTGACCACTCTGACACTACTTTCTCCTTCCCCCAAGCACATGTGCAAGTAGCCTGTTCTATTTTTATCCTAGTATTTACCACTCTCTGAAATTTTCTTATGTATATACATGTTTATGGCCTGTCTTGTCTTCTAATATGTTCAGAGCAGTATCCTCAGTAACTAGAGTAGTCCCCAGTACATAGGAAAGGCACCACAGATATTTGCTGAATGAATAAATGACCATTCATGAAACAAATGAATTCAAGACTGTATATAACATGTTCAGACATTTCACAAGTATTTGAGGAAGGAGCACAGTGGTAGAAATGGAAGCACAAAAGGTGAGTTTAATATTAATAGAACATGACTCATAAAACAAGGGTAACCAGATATGAAAACTAATACAGAAAACCTTAGAGCCAGTGACCCCTGCAGTAAAGAGCAAAGAGAATGGAACTCATGTAACCTCTCAACCATAATGAGCCACATGAAAGTGACAGAGACTGCTTGCAAAATTGCAAAATAAACATCATGAATAAGGTCTCAGAGAAGTGGTTTAAGTGGGTTGAATAATGAGTTGAATGTGTGGTATTCTTTATCAGCAATGGTAGGACTAGTCTAATAAAGGTATATGATCCCTACATATCTTAGTTTATAGCTAAGTGGAACTGCAAAATGGTTAAGTTGGAAATTTTGGTACAGACTTTAGGAAATGGTATGAACTTTACTTGGTATTCATTCTCACTCTTAAAGCATGGTAGTCAGTTACTCCAGGATAAATTAGATTAAAGTGAAGCATTATTAACTACAAGTTACTAAAGCTATAAGGTCCTTGTGAAGCAGGTGACAAAAGGAAGGAAGTATATTTTCATTCTTACTAACTGTTCACACACAGTTCAATAGAATAAAGTGCTAAATTTAGGTCAATCCAACAAAACATTATTCAGATGTCACTCATTTGCCAGGTACTATTCTAGTTCCTGGTAAAGGGTAAAGCAAAAGATGGGGGGGAAAAAAATGACCCCTGCCCTTGAAAATGAATTTCAGAAGCACAAAAATGCATTTAAGCCAACTTTGGGAGATTAGGACCAACTTCTCAAAAAGTTAATGCCCTAGTTGAGGCCTGAAAGATGAGTTCAAGAAATAGCCAGGCTAGAGAAAAAGGATAAGGTTCTAAGCAGTATATAGCATGAGCAAAAACCAAAAGGGCTTCTACCTCTAAATCTTTATTTATACTGATCTCTGTTACCTCATCCCACAAATTTGTTACTGGAAAAGTCCTTTCTCTATTTTACCTATTTAAAAAGTCATTGTCTTATTAAGGTCCTATTCAAGCCATACAGCTGAGAGGATTCCTTGGCCACTCCAAAATGAATATAATACAGATCTCCTGCAGCATTTAAAGCCCATAATGCAAAATGTTATATTTATGTAAACACTGGTATTATGTTCAAATTGTTTACTGTGTATTAATCCTAACTTCAATAACTATCAGCTGTGCTAAGATCTGTATTATCATAGAATCTACATGTTATATATGTACAGTGATAAAAGTTGTTGGTTAAGAGGTCAGAGAATTATGGTTTTCATTTATACGTACCATTCTCAGCTTTCAGCTCCTCCAGCTCTACAGAATTAAGGAGCAAGGCTCCCTTTTCATTCTCTAGTTCTACCACTCTCTTCTGCAAAAAGGCAATAATCTCTTCAGTGACTGCCTAAATTGGAGAAAGACAACAAATTAATGATTCTCCAGTGCAAAACTCTCACACTAATGCCCAGACAGCCTCTGGCATTTTTGTGTTCTAAAAGTTCTCCAGCCTTGAAAATACTTTAAAAATAGCATCTACTTATCTGCCTACGTAATCTTTAAAGCAATGCTTTTCATCTGAAGATAGAAAGATGAAATCTTTCACACAAATTTCTAGTTCACTGACTTTTGAATTTAAGACCAAAGCCTGGATTTTCCAAGTCCATTACACACGAAAGAAAATTTTCAATTCAAAAAATTAAAAGCTCATTATGAGTTCTGGAAAAACTTCAAGTAATCTAGTATGTGTGTAAATGGAGTCTTCAAAGGAAGAGAGAAGTCAGAAAAAATAGTGGACTAATTAATGGCAGAAAATTTTCCAGATTGAAGCAAACTATAAACACAGAGATTTAAAAGGCAAATTCCAAGCACAAGAAACATGAAGAAAACTATGCGAAGGCACATCATAACCAAAGTGTTCAAAACCAGTGATAAAATCCTAAAAGCAATCAGGAAATTTAAAAAAAGAGACAAAGAAGACAGTAGATTTCTTACAAAAAAAAAAAAAAAAAAAAAAAAAAGGGAAGAAAAACCCTAAAAGAACAAAAAAAAAAAACCTATTAATATAAAATTCTATAGTTAGCTTTTAGGTATCTTTTAAAAACTGCAGAGCACAAAGATTTCTTCAAACACACAAGAGCTGTAAGAACCCCTTACCAGCAGACTTGTGTGCTCAAGAGCGTACACACACACATTAAAGGAAGTCCTTTGGGCAGAAGGAAAATGACACAAGATGGAAATAGAAACTACACCAGAGTTTGGCAAAGTTTAGAGCCTTCTACCTGTTTTTGCAAATAAAGTTATGGCTTAAAAGCCTAAGATATTTATCATTTGACTCTTTACAGAGACTGCCAATTCTGGATCTACCCTAAAGAAAAGCACCAGAAATGGAAACTGCAATGGTAATTAAGATTTATTTTCTTATCATTTGAATCTCCTGAAAGATAACTGACTAAACGAAAGTAAAAAAATTTTTGTTTGTAACATGTCATATTTTTGTGTTTTTTGTTTATAACATATGTATAAGTAAAATAATAACTAAGTCCCAAGAATGAATAAATACAAGTATACAATTGTAAGGTTTTTATTCTACACATGAAACAGCACAATATTATATGCAGGTTAACTGTGATTAAAATGCAACTATAATCCCTAATGGGCTTCCCAGGTTATAAAGAACCTGCCTGCCAATGCAGGTAGACATAAGAGAAATGGGTTCGATCCTTGGGTTGGGAAGATCCCCTGGAGAAGGTCATAGCAATCCACTCTAGTACTCTTGCCTAGAGAATCCCATAGACAGAGGAGCCTGGAGGGCTACAGACTATAGGGTGGCAAACAGCTGGACATGACTAAAGTGACTAAGCAACAGCAGCATAATCCCTAATGCAGTCACTATTGTAACAAAATAAAGAATTATAGCTAATAAGATGAAAAGGGAGAAAAACAGAATTGTAAAAAACATTCAATCAATTTTTTTAAAGGAAGGAAAAGTAAAAATGTAAAAGGCAAAAAGTTGGAAAAATGGAAAACAAATAGCAAGGTGAGAGACTTAAAACGGTATCAATGGCAACGTTAATGAAAAATGATCTGAACACTCCAAGTAAAGGGCAGAGATTGACAAATTGGATAAGAAGTAGATTCAAACTCTACACTTCATATAAGCTTTAAATATAAAGATAAAATAAGTTAAAGAGTGAAAAAAGATACACCATGTTAATATTACTCAAAAAAGTAGAATAACTATATTAATATCAGACAAAAGTACATTTCAAAGCAAAGAATGTTACCAAGGATAAAGAAGATAATTTCATAATATCTATGGGTCACTTGATAATCAAGAAGACATAAACATCCTAAATGTTTAAGCCCCTAATAACACATCTTGAAAATATACGATGCAAAAACTGAAAGAACTGTAAATACATCCACAACTATGAGATTTCAATACTCCTTTCAATAACTGAGAGAACAAACAGGCAGAGAAGCAGCAAAGATATAGTACACTTGAATAACACTATTGACTAACTTTACACGATTGACATTTATAAAACATTCCAGCCAACAAAAGCAGACTATTTTCAAGTACATATGCAACATCGAACAAAATAAACAATATTCTGGGCCATAAAACAAGTCTCAATCAATTCTAAGAGTCAAGTCATACAAAACATGTGCTCTGACCACAAGAGAATTAAAATAAAAATCAATAACAGAAAGACCCCCAAGTATTTAGAAACTAAGTAACCCAGGGGGCAAAGAAGAAATTAAAAGGAAAATTAGTAGCTTTAACTGAGTGAAAATGAAAATACAACCGAATTTGTGGGATGCTACTAAAGTAGATTTCAGGGGGGGGGAATTTTAAATGCAAAATGCCTATATTAGAAATAAGAAAGGTCTCAAAGTAATGGTCTTGGCTTTCACCTTAAGAAGCTAAGAAATGAGAAAATCAAGTCTAAAGTGTTAGAAAGGAAATAATGAAAATCAAAGCAGAAATCAATAAAATAAAAAATAGAGAACAAGACAGAATCAATGAAGTCAAAGCTGGTTTTGAGATTACTAAAAATTAATAAACCTCTGGACACTCTTACCTGCATAAGAAAGAAAACACAAATTACCAGTATCAGAAATGGAAGAGGTAATGTCACTACAGAGTCTATGTATGTTAAAAGAATAATTAGACTATTATGAATAATTTTTGCCTATAAATTTGACACTTTATATGGACAAATCTCCTAAAAGATATTAAAATACCAAAGTTCACTCCAGAACAAATAGATAACCTAAATAGCCAAATAGTCATGAAACAAACAGAATCTACACAGACAATGCTTCCACAAAGAAAACATCAAGACTAGACAGCTTCACTGATGAATTTTCACAAAACATTTAAGGAAAAAATAATACCAAGTCTATACAAAATCACTCCAAATAAGTGAAAAGGAAAGAATACTCCCCAGTTTATTCTAGAAGGCCAGGTTTACACATAGAGCAAACCCAGGAAAAGATATTACAGAAAATTACAGACGGACAAATATTCATCATAAACACAGATGTAAAACTTTAAAGCAAAATTTTAGCAACTGAATCCAAGAAAAGTATAAGGATAATAAATAACTACCAGGTGAGATTTATCCCCAGAACTCTCATACACTGCTGATGGGAACAGAAAATGGTAATACCACTTTGGAAAACTACCTGGCAATGTCTGTCTTAAAATCGCCAATATTATACAGATACGTCACTTCTAGGTATTTACTGAGAGTAAAGAAAGCACAGGTCCAAACAAAGATTTTTAAAAGAATATCCATAGTAGCTTTATTTGTCAGTCCAAAACTGTCAATAATCCAAATTTGCCCATCAACAAGTAAACAGATAACCAAACTGTGATATGTACAACATTCTCAACAATACAAAGGAATGAACTCTAGCTGTATACAATAGGATAAATACCAGAATAAGTTCCCGATATAAGGAGAAAATCTTTCAACCTTTCACCATTGAACCTGATTGTTAGCTCTGGACTTGTCATATATGGCCTTTATTACATTGAGATACATTTGTCTATGTTTAATTTGTTAAGAACTTATTATGAACAGATAATAAATTTTGTCAACTGTTAAAAAAATTAGTCTAGTTTTAACAACTAGACTAAAATCAGTCAAAACAAAGATAACCTAAATAATACTATGATTTAAATGATGTTTATACAATATTATATTGTATAGCTTCCCTGGTAGCTCAGATGGTAAAGAATTTGCCTGCAATGCAGGAGACTCAGCATCAATCTTTGGGTTGAGAAGATCCCCAGGAGAAGGGAATGGCAACCCACTCATGTTCTTGCCTGGAAAATCCCATGAACAGAGGAGCCTGGCAGGCTGCAGTCCATGGAATCGCAAAGAGTCAGACACGACTGAAGTGACTTGGCACACACACAAGCTATATTCATCAAGACAGACCATATGCTGTGTCATAAAACAAGTCTCTATAAATTTCAAAGAACTGAAATAATATAGAACATGTTATCTGATCATAATGAAATTAAATTAGAAGTCAATAATAACAATAAGATATCTATAAATAAAACCAAATATCTGGATAATTAAACAACACACTTCTAAATAATCCATGATCAAAGATGAAATCACAAGGAGAATTAGAAAATGCTTCAAAAACTGAATGATAAAAACACAACATATCAAACCATGTGCTTAAAAGGGAACTGTATACTTTAAATGTTTAAAAAGTGAAAAGGAAAGAATACTCCCCAGTTTATTCTAGAAGGCCAGGTTTACACATAGAGCAAACCCAGGAAAAGATATTACAGAAAATTACAGACGGACAAATATTCATCATAAACACAGATGTAAAACTTTAAAGCAAAATTTTAGCAACTGAATCCAAGAAAAGTATAAGGATAATAAATAACTACCAGGTGAGATTTATCCCCAGAACTCTCATACACTGCTGATGGGAACAGAAAATGGTAATACCACTTTGGAAAACTATCTGGCAATGTCTGTCTTAAAATCGCCAATATTATACAGATACGTCACTTCTAGGTATTTACTGAGAGTAAAGAAAGCACAGGTCCAAACAAAGATTTTTAAAAGAATATCCATAGTAGCTTTATTTGTCAGTCCAAAACTGTCAATAATCCAAATTTGCCCATCAACAAGTAAACAGATAACCAAACTGTGATATGTACAACATTCTCAACAATACAAAGGAATGAACTCTAGCTGTATACAATAGGATAAATACCAGAATAAGTTCCCGATATAAGGAGAAAATCTTTCAACCTTTCACCATTGAACCTGATTGTTAGCTCTGGACTTGTCATATATGGCCTTTATTACATTGAGATACATTTGTCTATGTTTAATTTGTTAAGAACTTATTATGAACAGA